CCGCTGCTATATAAATGGTCAAACTAGTTTGACCAAAATGGTGTTTTCAAAAATTTTTTGAAAAAGAAACACCATGGCATTGTGTTTTTTACAAAAACACAACAAAAAACACATTGATTACCAAACACACCCTTAAGTTTCAATTTTTGATGTAAAGAAATTGTCCTCATTATAGTGTTTTTCTGTTTGACTTTTATAACCTTTTCAAGCCAAATGAGCAACCACATATTAACTTCGGCTAAAATACCGGATTGACCTAAATAGTGACATCCATTTACCACTTTGGCCTAAAAAGTGACACCAACGATAATTTAATCTAAAAAATAACAAATCGGCGACAAATAAACTTTTCTGATCGTCTGAGATATTTTTAATAAAAAATTAAAGAAATTTTATATATAGACCACTCAAACTCTCATGATTTTTAAATTAACTCATCTCATTTCCCTAAATCTCTGAAATTTATGAAAAAACATCCTCTTTATCTACTATTTTCTTCCTCATTCCCACCATCTTCTCCATTCCCTTATTCTTCCTGTACCCTAACCTTCCCTCCTCGATCACTCCCTCTCCTATCTTATTTCATGGATTATCACATTTACTTTCTAATCTTTTTTACTCCAAATCTTTTTTACTCCAAATCCCCAACATCTCCTCCAATCTTTTTTACTCCAAATCCCCAACATCTCCTCCTCTCTCTCATTCCCTCTTCCTTCTTCTCCTCTTCCTTTCTCAAACTCTCTCTTCCTACTTGTTTCACCCACTCCCAACGCCCAAAATCAAACGTTCCACCACAAATCTTAACCTCGTTCCACCACAAATCTTAACCTCATACATCTCTTCTTTTCTTGCACTCTCTCTTCCTCCTTGCTTCCTTCTCCTCTTTCATCCTCCAATCATTAAAAAACCAATCTCCTTTAAGAGTGAAGATATGTGAAAGAAATGAGAGAGAATGATGACGATTGGGAAAAGAAAAGAATGAAAGAGATGACAAGAAGGATGAGGAAAAAGATGGTGAGAAGGGAGTGAGAGAGGAGTTCTTTTTACAAATTTTAAAACTTGAGGGGTTAAATTAGAAAATATGAGAAATTTAAAGGGTATATATACAAAACTCTTAATTTTCTTGCTTAAAAATCGATTCTGATGACCGAAAAGGTTTATTTGTCGCCAATTTATTACTTTTTAGGTTAAATTGTCGCCCGTGTCACTTTTTAGACCAAAGTGGTAAAGAGTTAGCAATATTTAGGCCAATTTGGTAATTTAGCCATTAAAGTTCTCTTTATTTCTGTAATTTCAAATATCTGCAAATTAACATTACTGTTGTTGTTGTTGTTATAAACATCTAAAAACCTTATATTACTATTTATAGTCAGTCGTATAATGAAAAGGAGATTCAAGTTTTTTTTAATGATTACAGTAATATGAAAGTCTTTTAGGTAAAATAATACATTATCATCAACTTGGATAGTAAAAAGTACAATAAATAAAAAAATGTCATAATTCCAGTCAATGTATCTGTTAATATGTGGCTATCTACACTTCACTTTGTGTACTTCCTACAATAAAAAAAACTCGCAACATTTCTCTTCTTTCAGTCATCGAAATATCATACTTAGCATCCATAATTGACTAAAATGATTTTAGACTTCGATTCAACTTTTAAATCAATTTAGGAGAAATTAATTTGTAAACAAAGAGATTCAACGTTAAGATCAATTTAGGATAAACTAATTTAGCATAGCAATCATGTGATTAATAATTCTAACAAAGTTTATTTTCCAAAAATACTAACGGTTGCATAACTGTGAAAGAACACATCCACACAAGTATTATAACCTAAGGCTTTTTTAATAGAAAGATAAATGATACAAATCCATGATTAATTGCTACAAATCCATGCTATTTTTGAATTAAATCAGATTTCATTATCTTGAACAAGAAGCATTTTGCTTGTTATCGCTCTATTGGTTACTAAAATGTGTCATGCAAATATTGCCCTATTGTCTTAATTCATAGCATATTGGGTTGGGGGAACCATGAGTACGCTTTCTTGATAACTTAAATGTGGATATATGTTTTCTCATCAATGAGTACACTTTCTTGATAACTTAAATTTGGATATATGATTTATCATGATTAGGTTTAATATGGATGATCAGTATTATTAATTTGGAGAGTAAAGTCCTTGTTATCTTAATCTTGTAATACAATACAATACATAGACTACACACGGGCTGAGGCGGGTCAATATTGGTCAAAATTTGGGTCAATATTAGTCAATATATGACAGTCCACTTTAATGTGTTTAGTACGCTCATGAAACACTGGATTGCAAGCAATTTGAATAGCACTTGTATTGTCACAGTAAAGAGGAACGAGAGAAGCAACTGAAGAAGATGGCGGGGCCAACGAATCTCAAGTTTGGTTCCTAGGCGATGTGTGCATTTTGTGCATTATTTAATAAGAAATTTATAACCCTTATAGTCAAATAAGTTCAACACTTGCTTTGTATAGTTTTTGAATATTAGAATGAGAGAGTAACGGTAAAGTAGGCAGAGAGAAATAAATATAGTAGATCATGAAATTTTACACATCTATCATATGATATTTCCACAAGGTTAGTGTAATGTAGGACACCTTTCGTTGACTTGATTCTGTTGAGCCCAGCTACAATCCATTTGACTGAAGTCGGTAGAAGGAAAAACCTGATGCTTGATTAATAAATTTAAATATAACGGAGGTTACATCTAGAAAAAGGAACAAAAAGTAAATAACCTCTGTTTGATTGTTTAAAGCATAGCTATAATTTGTTTAATTGGGTCTAGAATAGAAATGAATGCAATTCATGAGAATATGAAGTTTTATAATCCGTACCTCTCAAGCCTAATTTCAACCATCGAAACTATAATTTGTTTAATTGGGTCTAGAATAGGAATGAATGCAATTCATGAGAATATGAAGTTTTATAATCCGTACCTCTCAAGCCGTCATCCTCACCTCCGTCCTCAGCTTCCGTTTCCTCTCCATCTACGATCTGGCAGAGCGCCACCGACAACCATGACTCAGACAGAGCGCCGACAACCACGACACAGACCCCTCTACCGGTCGTTAACGCACTGAATAAGTATCCAATGGACATGTTCCATAGCGTCAAATGTAAACCGAAACTGTGTCCTCGGAATGAAAAATGTTTGTTTTCACGGTGACTAAGAGCATCTCCAACCCAACTCCAAAAATCCAAAATGGAGCAAAAACTGCACCAAATCTTCCTCCAACCGAACTGCAAATTCAGCGCCATTTTGATGAGGTGCTACAGTGTTGCGCCAGATTTGACGCAGCACTGTAGATATGGAGATTTTGGTTTTTTCCAAGTTTGCCCTTATAGTGTGTTATAACAAATCAAATATTCCAACTATATCCCATTTTATAGTTTGTAAATAAAATGAATATTCTTTTTGGTGTAAAATTTGGTGTAATGGTTGAAGATGGAATAGTGATTTGGTGTAAAAACTACACCAACTTGGTGTAAAAACTACATCATTTTGGGTTTTTGGGTTGGAGATGCTCTATAGAGCTCATTGTTAGGCTTTTGTTTTACATAGAAAAATGACATATTACTGCAGTAATTGAAGACTCCTGGAATGTCTCAGATTTCACAGGCAGGACTTAACCAAAAATTTGAGCTCTTCTATGTGAAACAAGGTCAATTTCCAATTCCCAATACAAGCATAAATTTTTAATTCATCATCTTCACCCAAATTACACATCAGCCTCTCCTCATCCTCATCCTCACCCTGAAAATAGAATGCTATACAAATCGGAACTGCCCAATTAAATGCGATCGTCGTCGTCGGTTTTTCTTCTGTTTTCTTCTTTTGACATGCAACTATGTTTCCTCTTCAAATTGCACCGTCAAATGTGCTCAGGATATAAACATCAGATCAACACACTCATTGCTTGAGCCCAAGAAACTGGGGAAAGCTTGCATATTTAGGCTCCCATCCGATTTCTGCTCGAGTCTTTGCGTTGTTCATCCTCTTACCCAGTGGACCATCAGTTCCTGAGGGTGCCAAGATGTTCATGAAGTTAGAACTTTTGAACGTTCAAATATAGGGTTAATTGCACGCAGACCCCTGTAGTACCTTCGCCCTGTAGTTTCGTAGTGCAGATAGACCCCATGGGTTAAATTCTTTCGACTCTTTTACCCCTCAGATGAACTCACTAATTTCACTCAACGGCCGAGGGCAATATCTACAAAAATTCCACCCCAGGGGTCTATCTGTAACAATGAAACTGCAGGGATAGCAAATGCAAAAGAATGATCCTGTCGGGGATCTGTGCGATTAACCCTAAAATTAGGTAATAAGAATAACACCACATGAAAGAATCATGCCTGTGAAAGCCTGAAACTCCTTGCTGAACTTTCCGCTTCGTTTCACACACTCCATTATTTCTTGCCTATATCAAGGGGAAAATAAACTCCTTGCTGAACTTTCCGCTTCGTTTCACACACTCCATTATTTCTTGCCTATATCAAGGGGAAAATATTTTCTTCCGCTTCGTTTCACACACTCCATTATTTCTTGCCTATATCAAGGGGAAAATATTTTCCATAAGTAACCGAAAGACATAATTGACAGTATATTGCGAAGAGAGGGAGAACAGACCGCGATAACGGATGGTCGTCACACCCTAAAAACGTTCGACCTCTCAAGTTTTTCTTCATGATTGCAATTGCGAGAGATGCAGCATCCTAGTATGCAAAATTGATGTAAATGTGTTTACCTGAAGATCTTGGATACAAAATACACTACTAAACACCACCCAGTTTTATAATGAATAGCTGTCTCAAGAAATAGACTTTTAAGCTGGTAATACGTTTGCTAGGACTCTAAAAATTAAGACGTAACTTTCAAGTAAAACCAAACTAAAATTTGACCACAACCTTTAATTTAAATGGCAAAGAAATGATTGAGCTAATTAAGATAGACAGTCTAGAGTATCCCTAATAGAAATCACCGTTCAATAATATAGACTAACTAAAAGATGAAAGTTGTCACCTCGTAGTGAATAAGATTGAGTATGTGATCTGGACGATAAGGAACCGTTCCTTTCTCCAACCAGTAAGTATGAGCTCCTCTGTCTTCTTTGTTTGCATCGTTAAAGAATACTGATATACTTCAACAGCTAAGAGATTTTATTTACAATCCTGTGATCCTAAATTCCACATAAGAACAGAAAACAGTGGAAAATTTTTAAAAGGATATGTAAAGGCCTGCTAATCTCAAAACGCAGCCCCCAATTTCCCCAACTACACTTTCTGCTCTCAAAAGGACATCTGTTCGAGGGCTTTTACCCATTGGCACGATGGGAGAATACTGCCAATAATATCATCAAAAGGTAAACTCAACCTAATTATATAGTTCTGGAACTATACAAACAGGTGTATTTTTCATTCTGATTATAAGGAGAATAGAAAAACAAAAATCAATTAGCATGAACTTCTTAGCACATATATTCATGAAATTTTAAATAAAATAATAATGAAGTTTAAGAGATCAGTCAAACAGAACTTTTTCGTAGAAAGGTAATGCAATCAAAACAGGGATAAAGAACCTTTGACGTAAATGCTTGCAGCTACTTTCAAATATCTTACAAATGTGATACATATCATAAAATTCAATGCAATATGCAGACGGAGTTTGTGGCAAGAGAAGAGGAAGATGAAGAAGAAATGGGGATAACATTCTCAAGGACAATGATGGCAAGGAGATAGGAATAATTATCTGATGTTGGACTGGTTTGTTGTCTTGGGACTATAAACTGGTCATTCATAAAACTAGTAATGTTCATGTTTGGCATCGTTGAATAAAGTGGCTTCATTCTGATTAAAATCTTGAGGCTATTGGACTTGAGCCTGTACATTTATGATTTACATATATGCATGTTCATCTATGAGCTTTTAGCATGTCTTCTTAGTCATGCCTTGCTCCATGAATTAAATTTGTTCATACTGTGATAAAACGGCTGTAAGCTTCACTATTGGACATGAGTTAATTTCTCCCATAGTAAATTTGTTCATACTGTGATAAAACGGCTGTAAGCTTCACTATTGGACATGAGTTAATTTCTCCCATAATAAATTGTATATATATGGAAATGATCGGCTGTAAGCTTCACTATTGGACATGAGTTAATTTCTCCCATAATAAATTGTATATATATGGAAATGATACATGACATATACCCGATTTGGCACTCAGCTGTGAAGTACAACTATAAATCCAATTTCACCGACATGATAGTTTTCATATTTATGATGTTGCGTTAGTTGAAATGTGCACGAACTATTAAGGTTAATGTGAGAACTTTAAAAACTTTCAGTCATTAATCTGGGTTAGTTGAAATGTGCACGAACTATTAAGGTTAATGTGAGAACTTTAAAAACTTTCAGTCATTAATCTGGCATAAGTCATAAATGGATGGCTGATTTGCTTAGATCTCAACTTTACAGCATAAATAATTTGAATGCAACAATTTGATATTGATCTAAACATTTAAAACTGCCAAAAACCACTTTTTATCACATTTCAAACATTATACACTGCTACACTAACAAACATTATAACACTTTTTTTTTTCACCTTGTGTTGATGCAAGAACAAAAGAATCTTAAGGGACGAGTTTGGTTTTTAAACATTGACTTAATGGATTTGAGTTTGAAGGATTTGGCTCCAAATCTTTCCGAAAATTCCCAGATATTATGAAAGTCCAAAAGAGTGGCTACTGGAGCTGGCAATTTACTTGTTTGAGCAGTGCAAAGCATCACAAGAACAAACATTTAATAAACGTTACCAGTTGAGCAATGAGTTTATATTAGATGTAACACCTCATCGCATAGTCCATTATCACTGCAATCATATACAGCAGTGCTTGAAGTAAACAAGAAACAACCTTCACCGCTCCATCTTAAAGCTGCCATTCTACAAATGTAGAAGTTCAGATTGATTAGTCGTTTTCATGAACTGCAATCATATGATCTACTAAATTTGGCTACAAACTGAAGCAACACAATGCATATTAACTACTGATTTCACAAATATATGAATCCCGTGCAAAATCAAATGGATTATCATCAATGGTTATTACTCGTTCGTGCTTATTCTACAGCAGTACACAAGGCTGCAATAGTTTCATGCTTTATTCTCCTTCCAAATAGTCAATAGTTTTTAACCACCTAGTTCTTTGCAAGACTTAATATAATTCTCACCTGATATCACCAGGATAATCTTCAGTTCTTGATGGAGGAGCACAGAAAATAACATAAGGAACCCGAGTATCTGTCAACATTCCCCTTAAAGATGGTTTTATCCCAACTTTGATCAATTCATCATGACGATCAGATGTCATTGTCTGTCCATAAATCTGAGAGTCTGGATGATCCTGTTAATAAGCAAGAGTAAGGGTAAAAGCGAAAAAATTGATGTCCAAAATATTTGAAGATTATCAAGCAAGAGTAAGGGTAAAAGCAAAAAAATTGGTAAAACAAAACTTCAGGTTTCAAAGAAAATGGCACATCTGCTAAAGGATAAAACCAAAGCTAACTCGAGCTAAGGTAATAGTTTAGCTATGTCATGCTGATAAACTAAAGTTAAATGCAGAGAATCTCAAGTCGTACGATGAACTCATAACATGTGTTCTTTATCTGAGCAACAAATCTCCAGCCCAAAGCACTCTAAGCATTTAATTACCTGCCAGCTGCTTACTGCCTTAACTTGTAGTCTTAATACAGGACTCCAAGCCGTTTAATTATCAACTAGCCACGGTCTTCAACCTTGATTCTCGCAGATAAAGCCTAGACTTGGATAAGAAGCATCAAAGCAAATATAATAAGACTTTGCTAATCACATTTTTTTCCCTCCTAGTGATCGCCAATGACAGCAAAAAAAACACCAATTTAAAATATATAGATCCTTTCCTTATTTTATAATCATCAACAATGTATCTCTCCTTTCACTGTGGTTTATTTTGTTTATTTGACAATACAATCTTTTATCAGGTTATCAACCAAATAATAATCATTATAGAAGGAGACATACGAAAGGAGAATTGTGAGTATGTTCATCTTGTCATCTCGCTATAGTAATTCAATCAGAAAAGGTACAAAATGGAAGGACCACAAATCTTTAAAGAAAAGAAACTAGATCATGCGTGAATATGTTTATAGTGTTAAGAAACTTGTCACAAACCTGCCTCCACTTTTCAGCAACCATTCGACCAAGAACACCTGGTCCTACAATCAGCAAGTCGCTCTCTCCTGTGACGCCAGGGTTTGGACTTTTCAATTCTGCATCAAATGTACCTGCATATGACATAGTATCATTTTAATCCTCTTGCAAATAATCAATTGAAGAGGGTCATGTTCCAGATTAAAATTAAAAAGAAAAAAATTACACAGTTTGCAGAGCAATTAAATTCTATTAGAAGGACAAAAAATCTATTTCACATGCATGCTACTTTATACTCATGGGTTCTTTTCTATATTGTATGACTTTAATCCTATGAATTTAGATTTTCTGTTATGTCCTCCTTTCAACTTAGGTGGAATATAATATTGCTTTCTCTCGGAATCTTTAAAAGTTCCACATAAATGGAGTTCTTTGTTAGCAAAGGATATGCTTGTGAAGTGGTGTCGCTCACAGGAGTTAAACAGAATTATTGCACTCTGCAAAGTAATGCTTTACGGTTAGATTTCCTTATTGACACCCAATCAAACTTTGATGGTTCTCCAACAATATTCAGTTTAGGCAATTAAAAATATTATCAATGTTGTTGCTCACAATTAAGTAGACCACCAAAAACTAGAGAAAATACATGTAAAACAATATTAATAATAAGTCCACCAGTAAGTAAACACCTAGCACCAACTGGACAAATCTAATATTCTCCTTTACAAGATCCAATCAAGGGATTACATTCTTTGTTCTTTTCCTCTTCCACTTTCTACTTCTTCTTTTTTCCCCTCGTGAAAAATGGAAATTAAGATAGAGAAAAACCAGGAAAAAAAAAACTCGAGAGTAAGTGATATCGAAGGCAATAAAACTGATTCATCATTAATTGACATTCCCCACAATGCATCATCCTCTCAAGGATAAAGCGACAGAGAGTCGACGGAGACGGTTGTTGTTATGTTATTCCAGAGAGGGGCTGCAACTAAAAATTTCAGGATAAAATTTTGCTGTTCCCATAATCCAACGACCCACAAATGGGCGTTCACACAAAATCCTAATCTCTAACACAACCCCACAAAGCCCAAGGCGGGGTTCCCCCAAAATCCAATCTTTAACATGCCCAAGTTCCCAAAATCCAACCTTTGGCCAAAATTCCTCCTAAATAATCAACCACCACATGAAAAATCGTCAAATTGGAGATAAAAAAAAAAGCGGGGCGCTGACCTTTGAGGGAGGGAGAGGAGGAGGAGGGCAGCACCATCGAGGCGAGGCCACGTTGACGCAGCGTCGATCGGAAGCCAACGGGGCCCTTTTCGAAGAATGGAAGGGATCGAGGGTTTCTTGGAGACTGAAGAGAGGGGGAGTGGAAGGGTCTAGGGATTGGTGAGGAGATTACGACTACCATCGAGAGGGATGTGGACGAATGCGGGCGGTTTGAAGATAAAACGGGGATATTTGTACTTGGAATATTTGCACATTGGTACGTACAATGTTATTAAATTAAATTTAAGGGGTGTAATTTTGATTAAACTACCACAATATAAAAAAAAGTTTTCTTTCAATATACACCCCAAAATCCATCGTTTGCAAATTTATCGCTTAATCTACGTAATTTGCTAATATTCTCTACATCTTTCACATTGGTTTTTTTACTACCCTCAGTTTACGGCATCATCAGCTAGGGGGCTGTTTGGTTGGGTTTAAAAAAAATCTATCTAATCTAATCTAATCTAATACTAGTATTTAGACCCGTGCAAAGCACGGTTCCTAAAATTTTTTTTTGTAAATATTGAACATGTTATCAAAATAAAGCATTCTGCTTTAGATATGAAGTATAGTGGTGGAACTAAACCGAATAATTAATAAATAGTTTGATTATTATTTGTCCAGATATTCGATCGAGTTCGATTCGATAACTACTTCAATTAGTATTTAAGGCTAGGGTGTAAATATGGGCCTGAATTTTAGGCCGGTGTAGGGATTTTCATGTTTCTTCAATTAAAGATCAATTAGTGGATTCAATTAAAGATCAAATAACTACTCAAAACTGAAACAAAAATAGCACAATAAGGTCAATTATTTCAATGCATAAAAGTGTGAAAATATTTATCTAAAAATTAAATTTGAAAAGTGAAATAAAGTTACCGTTTCATAACTGTGATGAACTGAATTGACCCTCCGATACGATCCTATCAATCATCATCTCTGACATAATCAATCTCCAATCTCTAACCCACAAACAAACAAAACCCATTAAAACTTAGCAACCAAATCTTCATTAAAAAAGCAAAAAAGATTACCTAAATCAAATTTAAACATAAGGATTAGGGATATGATCAGAGTCAGGCACTATTAAGATTAAATATATCAAATTTAATCATTATAAATAGAAATTATAATCTTTACCATGCTAAAAGAAGTAACTAAATAATCCAAAAACCAACAATCTGAGGCGCAAAAAAATAAAATTTAGATCAAATTCATCACCATGATATATATATATATATATATATCAATCAATTCCTCTAGAAACATTGATATTAAAATATAAGTTTTTAAAGGATTTTTCATGTTGCTATGCCGTAATATTCTACTTTTATGTTTTGACACCTCCCACCCCTTCAAAGACTGAACCTCACACATTCAAGTTGAAATGGGAGGAGAGCATCTCATAAAGTCTTAGCCAGTTTCTCCAACAATTCATCAACCTGCTCATCAGTATACCATCCCTGACTAAAAGGTTCCCTCTGATCTCAGAAGCATTCTTGAAACCTTTTGGCCACAGACAGCATCTTGGGAGGTATATCAGCTCAACCCCCGATATCATCCTCAAGCATCTCAACAGCAGTTCATGATCCTTAATATTGCAGGCCATCGTCATTCGGATGTCTTGGCTCTCAATTTCACGAAATGGGACAGGCTGAAATAATCAAGAAGAGAAAAGATGAGACCTTTCTTAAACCCTAATTCAACGCAAAAAAGCAAAGGTAGGGAGAGACCGAAGAGAGACATGCTTCAATTCTCTAAAGCACTCGAGTCCTCCAGGGAAAGTGAAATCATTTAGAGGTTGAGGAGTGACGGAGAATTCAGTGGGAGAACAGATCTCGGTGACGATGAGGAAGCGAACCGCCACCGCCGGCGGAGGACGGTGAGGAGGATTGGAGTTGTTTATGGGATCAGGATCCTCTTTGGACGATGAGAGGGTAGGGCTGGGGATATTACGACAGCGGAAGAGGCGCCATGGGTCATCGTCGGAGCGCTCGGTCGCTCGCATGTGCTTCTCGAGGGTGGCGAGGCGGTTGGCCTCAGCTCTCTGACGGTGCTCCTCCGTGATTTCCACGAGCGTTCATCGATCTCAATTTTTGATTTTTTTTTTTTTGATTTTCTGAATCTTTATCTGAAGAAATATGGAGAGAGAAAGAGAGAGAATGGTGGAGAGTGTCAAAAAAGTGTACGGTTAAAGAATAGTATAACTTAATTTTTTTTAATTATAGTGCAATTAAATAACTTTGTAAAATGTTTATATATAATTTATTAAATAATCTATACTACATATAAAAGAGGATTCAAGTGTTAAAACTTTTGAATTCCTTTTTTGCCTCTCTGATTTAGATATTTTCCAATCTTATCTTTAATTAATTGCACAAAAAGTCTCAATCCTCATTCAATACATATAAATAACATGCTCAATATAATAAATAAAAATATTATAGTAAATGTAGGACATATGGATAATTGATATGATACATATGTCAAATTAATACTACTACATGTTTCATTTGCAAATAATGTGTCAACTTAAAATGCCATTAGTGCATGCATTATGCATACTTGAATCATGAGTTACATTTAAATTGTAGTCTTTATTTTAGGAGCAGCTAGTGTTATACCCGCGCCATGCTGCAGAAATATTTAAAAAATTAGTCTACTTCCATATTTTTTGAGTTGGATAGACTTTACTTTATTTGCTCTAAATGCTCGAGCAATATGTGAAAAATTAAAGATGCTAAAAAAATAAAAATAATTGAAACATAATTGGACATATCTAAATAATATATATATATATATCATTCTCCCTTTAAAAGAGGGAGTACTAGAAAAACTTTCTCTACCCCAAAATATCCTTCATCTTTCATTAATTTAACAAAGTTATCCTTTCTTTATTTAATTTTATTAAGAAGAATGATTCATGAAGAAATATGTATTTAATTATTAAATTAATTGTACACAATTGTTGGTTATAGGGTTGATTAAATGTGACCATTTATCTTCTCTTATATATACTAATGTACCATCTTTTCTTATTAAATTGCCCGGTTGTAATCATAATTAGATATTAATGTTAAAGTAGAAGGTTGACTATTTATAATAGCTAACAATCAGTTCTTTCACTGCACTTAGCTCCCCCTCTCATTTTTTGTCACCGCTTCAAATTATTTTTCCGCAACGAGCTTTCCATTCTTTCTTCTTTTTTATTAATTCCGCCGCTTCAATTCCTCTTCCAAATGAAAATCATTTCCAACCTTACAACTTCTGTTCAAAATATTAACATAACTCTCACTTCCTTTTTCTATAATAAAACTATGTCCGAAGCCATTGTAGACAATCATATTTCTTGAGAAGAAGCGCCCTGGCATCAACCCTATTTGAAAGCTGTGATAAGGTAATTGACCACCTCCTATTTCATTTGATCTTAAATTTTTTGTTGTTCTTTAGATATGTTTTGATTCGATTGTAATAATTTAGTTTTCTTAAACACTTTAAGTTTTAATTACTCACAATTTGATTTGTATGATGATTGAAATTTTAATGTGAATCCAACATTTTTACTTAATTGAGATTCTCTATTATTTGGTGCATGCTTCCGACTTTTCTCTCTCAAAAAGCATTCAAAAGGTCAGTTCTTTTTCGCTCCTTCCATTTCCATTTCTCTTCTTGCTGAAATTCTTTTTGCTACAGTTTCATTGTTGACTGCGATTCATTTCTTGATAGTAGCAAGTGTTGAACCTATGTTGAAGTTGCCTTACACGGGTGGAAATAACACCTCTAGACCAAGTATAACACAAGATTACATTAAAAAAGCTGTCATCTTGTCATGATTCAGTTGATTTGTAGTGCCTACAGTGGAGTGAGGTTTTGATTTTTTACCTAATGTATTTTCTTTCTTCACTTTTTAGGTGAAATGAAGATTTTTTTTCATGGAGTATAAATGTATTATTATTGGTTTCAAGTTTATTATATGAACACCAAGGGGAGAAATGTTTAGGGATCTATGTTTTTCCTCGAGTATAAATGTACTATTGTTGGCTTTCAAGTGTATTATTTGGCTTTCAAGGTGGATTTTTTTCATGTTAAGTTTCTTGGTAATGTGATAGTACTTTAATTGACTAGGACATATTTGTATATTTATTGAACATTATTAATATTTCCTATAAATAGGGTCACGGTAGGGATTCAAGTGGTAATATTTATATTTGGGAGAGATTATCGTTAACGCTGCTGGCTGAAATGGATGGCCTAGAGCAGACAACAGTAAACCTCATCTCATTTATTTTCTTAATTAGGAAGCAAGAAAATTATTAATTATGAACTGTCTTTGATCAATTTTGTTCTAAAGACCCCGTTGATATGTAGGGAATTATTGTATTGGTTGCTGCACATCATCCATAGGCATTTAAGCATCCTAGACACTTTGATTTGGTATGTATTCATCTTACATGGTCACATGCTAATAGTTGAATTAATGTTAACTAAAAGTATGACTTATGCAATTTAGCCTTTTAGTTCAAAAGTTTCAGAATGTTCTTGGTTTATTTGCTTTCATCAAAGCAGGATCAATTTTTTTAACGAATACCTACGGACACTCATTAGGTAACGACAGATCGATATAGAAAAAAGAATAGCAAGTGAGTCTCCCTTTGATTTCCTCTAATTTCTCTCATTACCTCCTCTCTCTCTCTCTCTCTCTCTCTCTCTCTCTCTCTCATGGTTCTTTATGAATATGCCCCCTATTTACAACACAATAAAGTGTGCACTTCATCCATTTAATTTCCTAAAATCAATGATCTCTTTCCAAATTTGATAGTGTTACTTGTAGATATACACCATATATTATCAGTAAATTTTGGATGGACCCCTTGTAGACTATTGTTGTAGTAGGAATTCTAATGATACTCGCGCAATGTGAGTGTTGCTATGACTTGCATCGTTAGGTCGCCACGTGTGGTGAAGCCCAACCTAACCCCAATTTAAGCCTATTAGAAAAGTAAACCACACCCCACCCTTTTACTTTTAGGGTGAGTGTCCGAAGACAATCCATAAAGGTGAATGTCCTTAGACTTTTTGTTTCTGCAGGTAGACCTCCTAACTAAAACTATTTTTGACGCTTTTACCTTCAAAAATAAGCATTTTTTATTTTTTATTT